TTTGGCATATCAAGTGGCTGTGGCACTTTGCCCTGTGGCAACAATACTGGTTATAAAGACAGTGGAGGGACTTCCCTGGTGGCTCAGTGGTTAAGAATCCACCTGCCAATGCAGGGGACACGGGTTCGAGCCCAGGTCCGGGAAGATTCCCACATGCTGCAGAGCAACTAAGCCCACACGCCGCAACTACTGAGCCCACGCTCTAGAGCCCAAGAGCCACAACGACTGAGCCCGCATGCCACAACTACAGAAGCCCATGCACCTAGAGCCCGTGCTCCGCAACAAGAGAAGCCACCGCAATGAGAAGCCTGTGCACCGCAAGGAAGAGTCGCCCCTGCTCTTCTCCGCAACTAGAGAAAGCCCATGTGCAGCAATGAAGACCCAACACAGCCAAAAATAAATTTATTAAAAATAAAACCATCTTCCAAGATCATGGGCATTTATGAAATTAAAAAAAAAACAGACAGTAGAGGCACATGGCTTCTTCCTACAGCCCAAGAGATCATATATATATATATATATATATATATATATAGAGAGAGAGAGAGAGAGAGAGAGAGAGAGAGAGAGAGAGAGAGAGAGAGAGAGAGAAAATAAATAGAAAATTATGACCATAAAATTGAGAACGTGTGTGAACAACAGAAGGTTTCCATGAGAGCTTGAAGGAGTCCCTCATGTCTGTGGGTGCAAGGAGGGTATAACCGAGGACCAAACCCAGGGTCTGATAGTAAAGGTTGCAGAGTTGCAACACCTCCACCCCAGGTCTCTTGTATTGAAGGAGGAGTGCTAATAGGAAAGGACTGGGACCCCAGGACATGGGGTGGAGACATCTGGGGAGAAATGGATGGGACTGAGAATTCTGATCTGCAAATTCCCCTAAATCCCCTTCACCAGCAGAAACAGCCGCTCCCTACCTAAGTGCACTTCCTTACCTGCATAAAAGCCTCTCAGTTGTCGCCCGGGAAGCAGTAATTCTATAAGCTGATACCTGTGCTCCTCAGAACACCCTCATCATTCCTCATCGCCTCCAAGCCCATGACCAGCACTCAGCCCCAGCATAGCCTGGAGGAGAAGTGCAAACTAGTAACCTCAGATACTCAGAAGTTGACCAAGGAACTGATATTGTAATCGAAAAGGTAAACTTGGCAGTTTAGTAAGTTTATTACTCCCATGTGGTCTTGCTACAGCTAATAAATCTTAAATTTGCTGAAAACAAAAACAAAGACAAAAACAAAAAAAACCCTGCACTCTGAGAAGATAGTCTAGACGGTCTAGTGTAATACTTATAAGACTCTGTCAATCTATATAAGCAGGAGCCTGTGGGAGTGGATTCTGAGGGTGTTAGACCAAGGGGAAGAATTATACGAATTGATTGGCCAAATTCACTGACATGGGTGCCCTAGCCTAGGATGTGGAATTTAATATTTTGACTTGATCACCCAGGAGTGGTTTTTTTTAATTTATTTTTTACTGGAGTATAATTGCTTTACAATGTTGTGTTAGTTTCTGCCGTACAATGAAGTGAATCAGCTATATGTATACCTATATCCACTCCCTCTTGGACCTCCCTCCCACTCCCCCCCCATCCCCTCATCTAGGTCGTCACAGAGCACGGAGCTGAGCTCCCTGTGCTTTATAGCATGTTCCCGCTAGCTATCTATTTTATGCATGGTAGTGTATATATGTCAATCCTAATCTCCCAGTTCGTCCCACCCTCCTCTTCCCCCACTGTGTCCACATGCCCATTCTCTACTTCTGCGTCCTATTCCTGCCCTGGAAATAGGTTCACCTGTACCATTTTTCTAGATTCCACATATATGTGTTAATATATGCTATTTGTTTTTCTCTTTCTGGCTTACTTCACTCTGTATGACAGACTCTAGGTCCATCCACATCTCTCCAAATGACCCAATTTCATTCCTTTTTATGGTTGAGTAATATTCCATTGTATATATGTACCACATCTTCTTTATCCATTCATCTGTCATTGGACATTTAGGTTGTTAGCATGTCTTGGCTATAATAATCTGATTAATTGAAGCTTGGACACAGTGATGGCCTTACTGAACAATGTTGAAATTCCAGAACTTCCTTGGAACACTGTGTAGGAAGGTCTGAAGCCTCAGGAGAGTGGGCACGTTGGAGTGGATCTATAATAGGCAACCTGCTCACAACCCTAGGAGAAGCTGGAGGACACTCCCTTCACCCAAGCATTAAGGAATGCATTCATGGGGGTGGGAGACCTCCCTATCCTTGAAGAACTCTATGGTAGTTGTCCTTTGTAGGCCAGAGATGGCCATGGGGGGTGTTGTAATGGAAGCTCCTTGATCTCAGTGTGAATAACGGGAAGCCAGGTAGATGGCAGCACTTAACCATCAGAAACAGTGGTTTCTGGGACTCCGGGAGGAAAAAAGAATGGGCAAGTACTAAAGAAACCAGCATTATTGAGCATTCACTGTGTACAGCCCAGAGAGGTTGTATAGGGTATGTACAATCCCTAGCACATAGTAGAAATTTCGTGCACTTAGTAAAGGTTAATTTCACCTTAGTAGGAGAGAGCAGGTGGCAGAGGAAGGGCTGAAAATCCACTGGATTCTGGCATCTGTCTCCACATAAGGGTTCACATCAAAAGAGAAGATAGAAAAACCGCTGTTCTAATTCCCAAAGAATCAATGTGGTGTGATGAGCAGAAGCCTGGACCTATAGTCAGCCCCACCACTTTACTAGCTCTGTGCCCTTTGTCAAATTACCTAACCTCTTTGAGCTGTACTTTCCTCATATATAAAGTGGAAATAATAAGGACAGTACCTGTCTCAGTGGGTTGTATAAGTAGTGCCCAGCACAGGGCTTGGCACGTAGTGGAAGCTCAGTAATGCTGGTTTCTTCAGTGCTCGCCCATCCCTGTTTCCTCCTGGGAGTCCCAGCCAGGTGTGGAGCTGTCCGTAGTGCTGAAGACATCCTCCTTCCCTCCCTGCCTCCTTCCCTCCTTTCCTCTCTCCTTCATTCCCTCCTTGTCTTCTGTGCTTGACTCCCCGGAGCTCTAGGGTCTGAAAAGATGGAATTTTCCAAACGGTTTCTTCAGGCCCCTATGGAAGACAGGAGGGAATGAGCCATATATGAGTCCCTCCCTCAGCAGGAGTCTCTGGAAGCTGGCAGGCAGCTGGAGTGGTGACTGTGGGACTGTGCGGGCTGTGGTGGGAACGGGGGCTCCCCGGGACAGAGCCCACTTGGAGAGTCTGACATCCGAGGACGCTCATGCAGGAACCTCAGGATCTTCCGAGAGGTGGTCAATCAGTTCCAACAGCACAGCGTGGCAGGTGGGTCTTTGGGGAGCTTGCCCTGAAGGAGGCAAGAAGGACAATGTTGGGGCGCAGGAGAGTGACCCTTGGATACAGGGCTTGAAGAGCCCCTGGCTCTGACTGGAATCCCCCATCCTCCTTCCCTGGAATATTTTGGTCAGTTGTGTGTTAGTGTAACTAAAGGCATCTTCATCTTTTTGCGTTATGTAGCATGCAATTGACTAGCTTCATGAACTTGGCTCCATGAGCCAATATCTGTGGCTAATTCTCAGTGTTTCTCCCCTTGAGTCTAAAACTACAAACGGTACCTCCCTAGGAGGGTGGCGCCTGAACCCCTTGTGCCAGAGGTGGGAGCACTTGCAGCTCACACACTCCTGGGGGAAGGGTTAGGAGAGGGGACGTGGCCAGCTGCAGAGACAAAAATCACCTGTTTCCTAATTTTTGTTGACAGCTAGAATATTGGAGATGAAGGATCTTTGGAGACCCTAAACATATAAACGAAGCCCTCCCTGTACAGGTGGCACTGAAAAGGGTGTGAGCACTGTCTCACGAGTCAGAGGTGGAGGTGGGGCTAAAGGTGGCTCCTCCTCTAGCCTGGCCAGAGGCTGCCCTCGCTAAGGGCCTGAGCCTTCTGTGACCCCTTGCAGGCCATCAGCTGCAGAATTCCTGGGACACTGAGCATGGCCAGCAGGACTGAGGGACCAGGGGAGCCTCCTGCTGCTTTGTGGGATGGAGGGAAGTCCACACCACTTTCTGTACCCGTTTCCCCATCGGTACACAGAGGAGTTGGTTCAGATGCTTAGATCTCCAGGATCCTTCAGCTCTGATGTTCTAGGTGTTCAATAAAAGAGGTGATTTTTGTCTTTGGCTGGGAGGTGGGAAGCCAGGCTCATGACCAACTCAGCCCTAACTTTTGGTGAGACCCTGGACAAGTCACTGCCCTGCCCAGAGTCAGTTTCTTCCTCTGGAAAAGAGGATAAGAGGTCTCTCATCAGGTTCTCTAGGAGCACCAGGCAAAGGAGTGGATCACGGGTGCTTTGGGAAGTACAGATTGAGGGGAGAGGTGTCTGTCATTAATATCAGCCGTATATGCCTATGTTCCCAACAAGAAATGATTAGCTCTTTGTGAGCCCAGAACAAACCCAGCTGCTCTGAGGGGTTCATCCCTTGGAGTGGGATGTTAGGAGACCACTTAGAGCATCACAGTGGAAGAGGAGGGAGTGTACAGAGGGCCCCTCAGAGACTGGTAGAAAAGCAGTACTCCCCAAGACCCTGGCCTCTGAGCTGGGAGAAACATAGCACCACAGGCCAGGAGGGCTCAGGTCTGGCCAGCCCTGCAAACCGGCTTCTTCTACAGATGGGGAGGCTGAGGCCTTTTTTTTTTTTTTTTTTTCCCGGTACACGGGCCTCTCACTGTTGTGGCCTCTCCGATTGCGGAGCACAGGCTCGGACGTGCAGGCTCAGCGGCCATGGCTCACGGGCTCAGCCGCTCCGCGGCATGTGGGATCTTCCCGGACCGGGGCACGAACCCGTGTCCCCTGCATCGGCAGGCAGACTCTCAACCACTGCGCCACCAGGGAAGCCCGAGGCTGAGGCCTTGAATGGGGCAGGGGCAGGACTGGGGCTGAAGCTCAGGCCTCCACCTCCTGGTCCAGCTTTCTTTACACCCCAGTACACCTGCCTCTCCTCAAAGATCCAAAGATGGTGCTGATGGTGATGGTGATGATGGCTATTCTGTTTAATAAGCGCCTAGCTAATTACCTACTCACCACAATGACTATCCTCATTGTAAATACGCTACACGTTTTAGTCTTCACCACAGCTCTGCCAGGTATAGCTATTGTCATCTCCATTTTACAGATGAGGAAACTGAGGTTCAGAGAAGTTAAATGTCTTGCCCAAGGTCAGGGGCTAGTAAATGATAAAATCAGGATTTATTCCTCTGTGTGATGCCAAGGCCCTTCTGACTCCTCTGCACTGAACATAATTTCTAGGAGCTACTCTGCACAGACCATTGCAGTTGGCATTGGGAGGGCATCCTCTTACCCTCCTGATCTACACTCCAAGTGTAGGTGGTTCAGCGGCCTCTCTTACTTGGATGACTAATTGGCATCTCCAACTTGACTTTGAAATTGAACTCCCGATCTGCCCCCTGGCCTCCTCCCATCGTCTTCCCCACTGCAGGTAATGGCAACCCCATCCTCCCCCAGGCTCAGGCACCCTCGTCTCCTCACACCCCACACCCAGCCTGTCAGCAGCACCCTGGGGTTCCATCTTTAGAATTCGCCCAGAAGCAGAGCCCTGCTCACCACTCCCTTGTCTCCTCCCTGTTCCAGGCCCCCGTCGTCTCTCGCTAGGTTACTGCAGCGGCCTCCCTGCAGGCCTCCCTGCTTCTGCTCTTGTCCTGGACCTCACCGTGGCAGGTAGGAGGATCCTCGGAAAACAGTCAGATCTGGCTGTCCCCTGCTCAGAGCCTGCAGAAGCTTCCCTTGCCCGGAGTCCAGCCAGAGCCCTCTCTGCCCTCAGCTCCCTGCCCTCCGTCTTCCTCACATGTGGTTCTGCCCTCCCGTTGAATACACCAGGTACACGGCTGCTTCAGAACCCTTGTGCTTACGGCTCCCTAGGCCTGGACCGCTTTCCTGTCTATGCTTCTTCCCTCACCTCCTCCAGATGGCAAGTCAAGCTTCCTTTCTAGGAGCCTGGGTGAGGGGCAGCGTGGGCGGTGGTTGGGAGCCCAGATGCCTGAGCAAGGCTGCTTGGGTTTGAACCGAGGCTCTGCCACTCACAGACAGTTGCCTATCTCTCTGCTTTCTCTTCCACAAAATCATGGTCATGACTGTACCTACTTCTAGAGGTCGTTGTGCAGAATAACTGAATTGAAATACGTGACATCCTTAGAATAGGTGTTCATTGCAATACAATGTGCGATAGTATAGTGAGTACTACAAGCTATTCAGTGCTGTTATTATCATCTGGACTTAACTCAAATTGGAGGAGATTCATCGGCGGGCAGACAGACAGTGCTTATCCTTCAGCAAAAGACAGGAAGGGAGGGAGGCAAAGGAAGAAGGTGTGCCTCCCCCCAACTTCTGTGGCAGTGGAGGTCAATGTCCTCTCTCCAGAATAGGGCCTGGCATTTCACCACCTTGCCAGCCCAGGCGGAAGCTGGGGTTGCCTAAGCGAAGTAGCCCTCTCCACCTTGCCCAGCAGTCCTGAGCAGCCTTTTCACACCCAATCCTGATATGAGGGCTGGAGAGGTTTAGATTCAGTGTAAGGAGGGCCCTTCTAACAGTCAAAGTGAATGACACTGAAATTGGCTGCCAAAAGAGGTAGTGAGTGGCCCATCGTGGGGAGTGTGCAAGAAGTAGGATAATCATTGACAGGGATCCACAGTACTTATTCAGCATCTTGCCTGTCCAGTCCCTCTGTAAGGTGCCTGGGGACCCCGAGATGAATAAGAAACAGGCTCTGCTGTCCAGCTGCTCTCAGTCTAGTGCAAAGAGCCTGACATGCTGGCAGACAAGGACCAGAGTGTGGTCAGGACAGTCATGGGGTCTGAGCAGGGTCTGTGGGGCCCCTGGAGGCCAGGAGCCTGAGGTGAGAACCCTAATAGCTGTGCTGGGAATCAACATCTGTGCGTGATGACCAGTCCACAGGTAGGACTTTCCCGGTCTGGGGCCATCCTGAGCCTTGCCCTGGAGAGGTTGCTGGGCAGGGGTTTGTGTCCTCACATCCCGGAGGAGGACCCAGGAGTAGGTAGCAGGAGCTGAGAGAAGGGGCTGAGCTCCATGTGCAGTTGTTACTGTTGGGACTCATGTCCAACCCTGCTTTCCCCACAGGTAAGCAGCCCCCAGGCGGCCTCCTCGCTCTGGCCCTGACCTGTGTCTTGGTGCTGGCCGGCAGGCCCTCACTTGCCTCATCAGGTGAGATCCTGTGCACCTGAGCCTCGTTCTGTCCCTCTGTGCCCCCCACCCCACAGGCCCTTTCCTCTGTACACAGCCCTGGCATCTGCAGGGAGCTTTCCCATCCTCTGTCCCAGACCTCAGGACTTCCCCACCCTCCTGTCCATCCTAGAGCTTCAGTCAGGACCCTATCAAGGCTGGCAGAGGACCTCCTGGGAGGTCCTTTGAGACTTGGGGAAGAAGCCTGGGCCCTCAGACAAGACTCCATCCTTCCTGAGCTTCAGGCTACACATCTGTACAGTGAGGGCTTGGTCAGGATGACCCCCAGGGCTCTTCAGCTTGGAAAACAATTCTTCCTGGGTTTGAAGTCCTCTGTGCTCTGAGCCTCGGCCCCATCCAGGAGGGGGCAGTCTTCTGTCCCCAGCTCTCACCCCGAGACATCTCCAGGTGAGTTGGAAACACCGAGGCTAGGGACCCAAAGGCACATCAGGCCTAGGGTCCTGCCCTGAGCTGGGCCGAGGGGCTCTTGGGGGACAGTGCTCAGTGGTGCCCTTCAGCCCAGCTGGGACTGATGGGGAGACAGGAAGGGAAACAGGGAGAGGACGGGGGAGGGCTCTGGGTCAGAGGCAGATCCGAGGAGCCGGATGGGGGGAGTGATATTTGCACCATCCTCTCTGTCCTGCACTTTTCTCACCTCCAGATTGAACATCCAGCAGCTGCAGCTCGTGCGGGGCCCCTACTGGATCCTGCTGACAGCCCAGGAGCTCACCTTCATCCACCGGCCCCGAGCAGATGGGTGGGTGGGGCAGGCACCGGGCTGGGTGGGCAGCGGCAGACAGAGCCGGTCTAGGGTCTTGACCACGCCCTCTGGAGGCTGCGCGTGGACAGTGCAAGTGAATCAAGAAGTGTCGCAGATGGCGGGAGCCTGAGGTCAGCGGCCCAGGGGTCAGCAAGGAGCCTGCCAGCCCCTCAGGAGCCCACCAGTGTGGCTCTGTACCAGGTGAGGGCCTCTGCCACCTCCCTGCTCAGGTCTCAAGAGCTGTCATCAGTTTGGGAGAGCCCAAGGGAATCCACGAGCCTCGGGGCTCTGTATGCCCCACTCCCGCTATAGCATGGGAAACTGAGGCGGGGAGAGGGACAGCGACTCTCCTGGGTCCCACAGCAAGTCGGTGGTGGGGCTAGAAGTGGGAAGCAGGACTCCCAGCTCCCAGTCACACGTGTTTTGTGACCTGACCTTGGGAAACAACCGGTCCCTGGCCACTTGGGCCTGGGCACTGCCTGTGTGTCTACCCCGGGGCTTCTCTCAGCAATGGGCCAACCTAGGTCACCCTCCTGCTTGCTTCGGCAAGGGACAGTGAGCTCCTGGGTCCCTGAGGCCCTGAGTGTGGGGCAGCGCCCAGCCCAGGATAGCCTCCGGACAGAGCCTGGGCCACCCGCTGATAGGGAAGCCGGAAGGTCAGAGGTGAGACCAGCAAGGTTTTAAAGTTGCTGAGGACACTGTGATTTCTCGGGGGCTGGGCTCTCAAATTCAACAACTGACTGCTGCTCTGACTCTCCTGTTCCGTGCCCCCCGGTCGATGAACCGGGCTAATTATTTCTAGGGGAAGCCACATGAGGCTCTTTCTTCTTCTGTTCCACCTTCTCCCTTGGGGAATCCCATCATTTTTCTCTTCTGCTGAAAGGAGGCTTTAATGATGTACAAAGCATGTTTTGTCTGCTCCTCCGAATGAGCTGCAGGCGAGGCTGAGGCAGAAATCCATCAGTGACGGGGGCGGGTGGGGAGAGAAAGCTAAGGTTACAGAAAGCCCTGGGTGAGGACAGAGCCCCTGCCCAAGGCCCCTGCCTCTCTCACCCTCCCCTAGGGTTCCTGGGTCACAGAGAGCCCCTCACTTCGCTGGGTTTGGGGTGTCCTAGGTGCCCGAGGCCTGCGGAGTAAAGCCAACCTCGGCGCTGGGAGCTAACACACTTTCTATCCGCTGTCTCGTTCGCTCTCTCAACGTGGGTGTGGGTGTCATCCTGGCTTTACAGAATTGGGACACGAAGTTCAGAAAACGGAAGTCCCTTGTCTGAGGCCGCAGAGCTAGAAAGTGGTGGAGTGAGGACTAGAACTGAGGTCTGTCAACCAAAGGAGACAAAGTCTGACTAGTTTCCGCTGGCCGGGCCCTTCCTGGCTTGAAGCGCACAGAAAGAGCACATTTATGGGGAAGAAGCTGAGGCTGAGAGAGGCGGAGGGTTTGCCCAAGTTGGGGACCAGCAGGGGGTGAACTCTTGTTGTCTCTTCTTGAACAGGGAGAGTGGGTGTGGCTGAAGACGTCTGAAGCTGGTGCAGCCTCCTGAGAAAGGTAGAGCTGCAGAGGGCGTGGAGGGTGGGCTGCGGACGGGGTGCTGTCAGGAGACCCTTACCGGTCTGGATTGGTCTTTACTCAATGCAGAAGATTCTAGCCTCGAAAAAGGAAGTGCTTCCTATCATCATGATCACTGCCCCATTGTCATCGCAGATATACACCATCCCTGTCACCATCCCACACCAGCTCCCCAACGGCACATCACCACCCCAATATGATCATCCCCATGGCTACCAGGGGCAAACTCCTCTTCATCACTATCCTCACATGGTACCGTCAGCACCACTGAAGGACCTCAACTGTATCCTCCATCCCTCTACACATGCATTCATTTGTCCACTATTTTTTGAGCACTGCCTATGCTCTGGGCTTTGGGGACAGAGCTGTGGAGAAAAGAGACAGGATTCCTTTCTTCGGGGAGCTTCCAGTCACCTATCGTCACTACTCACATAAGTCCCTTCACCCCCGAGTTGGTCACCATCCCGAGAAGCACTGGCGCTGTGGGATGGAGGACAGAGCATAAGATTTGAGTCAGGAAGACCTGAGATGGAATCCTGCCTCCATAGGACACTTAGCTTTCCTGTAAAATGGAGCTAATGAAATCTACCCCAGGGGAATTATGAGGATTGGAGAGAATTGATGAAATAACCTAGAACTGTCTCTGGCAAGTAGAGTGCCTTTGGAAAATTGCGGATTTTATTATTATTTCCAACATCACCACCATCTGGAATCAGCTTCGGAGAGATTCAGTGTCTGGAGGTTAGGTGAGGCATTTCCCAGTGGGAATCTTGCAATCAACACGTGCAGATGTTTCTTAAAAGAAAAGGTTCTATCTGTGGGCAGATGAGTTTGGAAGTTTCTTGGCTCAGACACAGGACTTATCAGAACCTTTAATATGCTGTTCCGGTTATCAATGACTGTGTAACAACTTATCCCAAAATGTAGTGGCTTTAAGCATCGGCCATTTTATGATATCTTACAATTTTGTGGGTAGGAAATTTGAGCAGGGCTCGGCCAAGCAGCTCTTCGGTTCCACTTGACCTGTATTGGGGGTCACTCAGTGGCTTTTCGGCTTGTAAATGGGCTGTCAGTGCTTGGCTCTCAGGTCAAATCAAGTCTACTGCCTGTTTCTGTAGGAAAAAATGTGATTGGAACACAGCCATGCTCATTCGTTTATGGAACTCTCTGTGGCTGCTTTCACACTGCAATGGCAGAAGTATTTGTGACAGAGATTGCAAGGTCTGCAAAACCGAAAATATTTACCATCTGGACTTTAACAGGAAAGTTTGCTGACCCCCTGTCTAGAAGGCCTCAGATGTCTTCACTTGCATGCGTGGGGCCTTGGCTGGGTGCTTGGAAGAGAGGACTCATCAGGACATGCCTTCCCACTGTGGATGGTCTCAGGGCCTCTCCCGGTGATCTCGCCAGTGTGGTGACTCAGGGTAGAGGGACTTCTTACGAGCATTCAGGCCTCCAGGAAATGGAAGCTGTCGGTCTCCTAAGACCTGGACCCAAAACACACAAGATCATTTCCACCGTGTTCTATTGGTCACAGTGTCACAGAGCCTGCTCAGGTTCAAGGGGAGGGGACAGAGGCCCAAGCTCTTGACAGCAGGGGTGTCTAAGGATTTGAGGCCATTCTTACCTCACTGCGTATGCTAATAAGCGTGCAGATCTCTAAGGAGGGGGAAGAGTATTCAGGTTTCCTCCACTTAGTTGACCCCGGAACTGTTTTTGTGAGGAAGGCCATGCTAGACGATGGTTTCATCTTTCCTGCTTGGGCGAATGCTAGCCTTGCTGGCTGGATTCGAGCTTTCTGACCTGCTGGACTGCTTTCATCTTGTGCCTGATCTCTTCTGCTCTTCTGCTCATCAGTCTCTGACTCTTGGGGAGAGAATTTGCACAGTTTCTAGGTCCATGATGTCACTTAGGTTGAGAAAAGGCCGAGATCCCTATTCTGTGGAGTTGGCTTACTCATCCATGACGCTTCCACACACTCATTTCGCTGGCTCATTCATTCAACCAGCCACCCATCTACTTACCCAACCACCCATTTCATCTACCCACCCATTCATCATTCATCCATCCATCATCCACTCCTCCTTTATCCATCCATCCATCCATCCATCCACCCATCACATCCATCCAACATTTCTGATGCCTCTCTGCGTTCAGCTGTATGTTGGGTGCTAAGTACTGGGGGTCAGATGTCCACACTCTGAGAGTCCCCTGCGGGCTGCTAAGGTGACCATTGCCCTGGCAGATGCGGGAGCTGCGGCATGAGAACATTGCCACCTTCCTGGGCTTCTTTGTGGCCCCTGGGGTCAGTGCTCTTTTGTTGGAGCACTGTGCCCGGGGCAGCCTGGAGGACCTGCTGCGGAATGAGGCTCTGCGGCTGGACTGGACTTTCAAGGCCTCCCTGGTGCTGGATATGATCCGTGTGAGAACCCTTCTCAAACCTGGAGCTGTGGAGGCAATGGGGAGGGAAGGGAGACAAGAGATGCTCAGATTTCCTAGGCCTGGGCTCTTTCTACTTTGTCTAACTGAGAAAAATCTGACAGTGTGGCAAAGGGTGAGGGGGAGGCAGGAAGGTTTCCTGGGGTCCGTGGGAATTCTGAGAGAAGCAGGGGTCCTTTCATTCACCACAGGCCTAAGGGACCCCCATTATTCCACTCCAGGGTGTGTGGTATCTGCACCATCGGCATTTCCCTCATGGCTGCCTCAAGTCCCGAAACTGTGTGGTGGCTGGATGCTTTGTGCTGAAGGTCACTGACCACGGTTATGCAGAGCTCCTGGACGCTCAGTGGGCTCCCCGCCCCCGGCCAGCCCCGGAAGGTCAGCTCAGGGGTGGGCAGGAGGCTGCCAGTAGGTTCTGATGCCTCTGTTTAAACTGGGTGCTTGTGAGGCAAGGGGAGGGGGGAGATGTCCGTGCTCCGGTACTTCCTGTGGTGTGACCTTGAGTAGATGGCTTTTCCTCTCTGAGCCTCGGGGCCCTTACCTGTGAATGGGGGAGGACAGAAGCAACTCCCTCCTCCGGGGCTGTAGGGAGAGAACGATGACACCACATGTGTGAAGTACCGCCCAGCTTGGGTGGTCAGTGGGTGACGGCTGTGTGGCCTCATCCTGTGATTGCAGAGCTGCTGTGGACAGCTCCGGAGCTGCTGCGGGGGCCCGGGGAACCCGGGTGGGGCCCCCTCAAAGGAGACACCTTCAGCGTCGGCATCATCCCGCAGGAGGTGCTGACTTGGGGCCCGCACTATGGTTCCCCAGGGCTCTCAGCGGAAGGTACAGCATCGTCCTCCTCCTTCCTTGGCCTGTCTCTGGCGGAGACCCCATGTAGTTGAGGAGCTCTGTGAGCATCAGGAAATTGGGGCCTGAAAATAACCACACAGACACACATGCCTGGTTTGACAGCAAGAATTGCGTTTCTTTGACTTAAACCAGGCAGCCTTCAGCAGCTCTGCCAAAATGGCAGCTGACCAGCTCCAGGGCTAAAGACCTTGGTTCCTGGGTGTAAGCCCAACCCCTTCCTTCCTCTCCCAGTGTCATTGCCGTGTCCGGAGGTGCTCATGCCCTTACCACCGGGCTGCCCAGCACAGACTTTGAGTCTGCGTAGACCTCAGTACTCCCCCTGGATCATTTACTTACTACATGACCTTACACAAATCACTTACCCTCTCTGAGCCTCAGTTTTCCCATCTTTATAGTGGGGATCAGATTTTAAAATGTGTCAGACATCCGGTCCATGCCTGATGTCACCAGTCTGCTCAGTATTTGGGGGCTTGGTCCTCTGCCTGAGTGGGGCTCCTTGAAGAGCATCTTTGGCCCCCTGCTTTTGGGTGTAATCACTCACACCTTCCTCATCATCACCTGATCTTAGGCATTTTCTCTTCTGACCCCAGTGCCAGGGCCCAACTTCAGAAATATTTCCTCCCCTTCTGTGTTCTCTGTCGGGGCTCCCTGGACTCTAGGCTGCTCTTCTTATTGTCCCCCTGCTGCCTCTGTCCAGTTCCAGGGACCTGTCTCACAGATACCCTGCATCTCGGCCTGCAGTACAGGCAGGGATGGAGCAGAACCCACCACCCCTCCCACCCCAGATGGACAATCTTGAACTCACGGGGAGGCCTGGCCTCGCTTCTTTTCTGCACAAAGCATTGCTCCATGAATAATGAGCATTCCAGGCCCCAGATTTATGGGGTGGAAGAGTGGGAAGGGAAGGGGCTCGGTCGTGCCATTTGTTCAACTCTCCTCAACTGCTCCGCCGCCCCTGGCAACATCTGCCTGCTGAGAGAGGGGGGACCAGCCGGATGGGTCTGTCAGCCATGCCACCGTGCAGGGCTTCTCATGCTTTAGGGACGAGGTCTGGAACCCCAGGGTCACCCCTGGATTGGGCTGTCAGTCCCGGACCTGCTACTCCCTGGCTGTAGTTTTCCTGGTCTCAGGAGGTAAAATGTCAAGAGCATAGTCTTTGGGGGACACGGACTTGAGACCAGCTCCACACCAGTTCACCTTGTGACTCTGAATAAATCTCTTTCAGGCTCTGAGCCTCAGTTTTCTCATCTGTAAAATGGGGACCATGATGCCTGCCTCTCAGAGTATTTGTGAGGATCCGGTGAAATGCCTTAGACAAAGTGCCTGGCATACTGGGTGGTTTTAGGGGTGTGCTAGTGGGGAATCCCATGTTCTCTCCTGACTCTCCCAGTTGGAAGCAGACCTCCTTGCTCTTAGAAATAGCATCTTTTTAAGATCCTGTGGTGGCTGGGGGGGGATACTTGTGGTTTCCAAAGCACTTTCATATGCGTTATTCCATTGGACAACCCTGTGAGGTGGGCTAGTGCACTCTTTTCAGAGATGGATGAAGTGAGGCTCAGAGAGGGGAAGGGACTCCCTAGCGGGAAGCCATGGGTCTAGGATTTGGGTGAGCTCAGTGCTCTTGCCCTAAAATGTCCTGGAGTCATCCACGGAGCAAGCTGGTCCATCACAGTGATGCATTGGGTGTGGACAGCAGGCTCGGCATGGGGAGGGAACCCGAGACCCGGCCTGGCCTGGGCCAGGGTTTCCCAACATGCTTGCCTGTGAGGACTCCACTTTAATGACAAAAAAGTTTTGAGCTTCACACGCTACTATTTGACTTTTAATATCCGCCAACTGAGGAAATGCCCAAAGACAAAAATCTGCTCTGAAATCAGCAACACTTTGAAATGGATCTGTATTTTACTCATCACAACACCATCCAAATGCTTTTGAAAAAGAGCTGGACATGTGTGTGTGTGTGATCTATTATTGGTTCCATCTGCACACACTCCTTTGCAAGCACATACAGCTTCCCAGACCCTTTACTCAGAGGCCCTCAGGGTCTGATGCCTGCAGACTGGGAACCTCTGAGCAGAGAAAATCGTGCAGGCTGGGAGGCGATCAGGCTCAGTTCCAGCATCTGCTTGTTACTGACCCTGTGGCTGTGGGTGACCTAGTTCACCACCCCAGAACCTCAGTTTCCCTGTCTGTAAAATGGGACAGTGAATCATGGGCTGCCCCCAACAAGGAGGCCAGCCAAGGGAAATCCAGAAAGAACCTTCTCCTCCCTGGTTCCAAGGGACCCACCTCCTCACCGTCTCTGAGGAGGATCTCAGCCCTCCTCAGAGATTAACCTGCTATACCTCTAACAGCCCTGTGCGGTCTGTACTATTATTATGCCCTTCTGATAGGTGAGGAAACTGAGGCTCAGAGAGATGGCATAACGTGTACAGAATATAAGTGGATCATCTCGAAGTCCTCTCCTGTGCCGCTGAGAGCCTGAGCCTGGTACCCAGCCTCACCTCCTCCCGGTGCTCCTGTGAATCTCTCAGCTCCCCCAGGCCCCACTCCAGCTTCTCGAGGTGGGGTTACTTCCATTGGTTGTTAGGTGGGGAAGCCGAGGCACAGAGTGATGGCGAGTGGCAGAGACGGAGCTGGATCGTCGATCTGTCTGATCTGGACTTAGTCTGTGGTCTTCATCACGTGGAGCGGGGACAAGAAGGTCCACAGCAGGGTTGGTCCTGGGAGAAGAGTCATTGTGATGGTGATAATGATAAGCAGAGTCTTGCTTCACACTTGTGGAGAGTTGGTACCAGACAGCCTCCGGGTGGCAGGGCTGGTAGAAAGAGCTGCACTGCGCAGGTCTCGAGCACATTCGTGGCCATTGCTGGTAACAGAGCAGTAACAAGTTGTGCAGGGTTCAGGGGGTGGAGTGAATCTAGTACCCCGAGATCTAGCTTCTGTCATCTCCTCCCTCAGTACCCCTCTTAAGAAGGCAGTTTATTAAGCTCATTTCACAGATGGGGAGACTGAGGCTCAGGGAGATTGCTGTCTTGTTCACCATCTCATAGAGAGGTGGTGGCGGATCCAGAATTCAAACCCTGTTCACCTGTCTCCCAGGCTGAGACCCCTTCCCCAGCCACACTGGGGCAGACCCAGGAAAACAGCGATCCTGGCCCACTGGCCAGCACGTCCCGGGGCACAGATCAAGGGGCTGAGGAATACCCTCGGGGCCTGATGTCTGCACCCCACAGGCCCACCCTGCCCTCCGTCTCAGGATCCCAGGCCCACCCCTTCCCACCAGCCCTCCTGAGGACCTCAGCCCCACTGCCCGGCCCGTGCTTGTTGCAGAAATCATCAGGAAGGTGGTGTCTCCCCCTCGCCTGTGCCGGCCACTGGTGTCTCCTGACCATGGGCCACCTGAGTGCATCCAGCTGATGGAGCAGTGCTGGGAGGAGGCTCCGGAGGACAGACCCAACCTGGACCAGATCTATACCCAGGTCAGCGTCCCCAGAGGAGCTGGCTGCTCGCAAGAAACGGCTGATCGGTTCACCTCACTTTCCCCAGCGGGGGCCCCACACTCTCCCCGGGGCCTGGAACCATTGTGCAGAAAGGGGGCAATGGGCCAGCATCGTCATCGCTGAGGGTGAAGCCTGAGGTCCACCATCTGAGGAAAGCTTTCTCAGAACTCTGGGTTCAGGGACATTTGCCTTCCTGAGCACCAAGACCCGTGCTAAGTGCTGTGTCTCAAGGTCAGCAGCTGTCACACTCATGGCAAATGACCTCTAAAGCTTATGCCTCTGCTTTTGATGAGCAACACAAAATAGGTGCTCTTCAGGGGCTGCTGCTACTACCTGCCTTACAGACGTTTGTCCGAGAGAAGCAGTATTAATGAAGGTCGGATATGCACACCTATACACACACAAAGGTCGAGATGCTGGATTTAGACAGGAATGAACCCCGTCACTTTGATCATCATTAATTTGCTTCTCCTACTGACTGCACTTTGGGAAGGTGCAAACCATACTGGGGAAGGTTCTAGGAAGTCTCCCTAGGAGACTGGGTGCCATATTTCCTATAAGGTTGTTGAAGGTACAATTTATAACAACATGTGAATGTCCTCTTATGAAGACCTGAGAGGTACTTCTCTCTGCTCAGCACCAGCAGTAGTTGTGTTCCTTTTGAGCAACTAGTTTAATACTCCATTGTCTTATGGACTCCATAGATTATGTAATCTCTATTTCCCTCTTTGCTTTGTTGCTAGGAAGCTCATATCCAAAATCGTGACCAAATTCTAGCATGCATTTTGCATATAGACCTCACTCCTGGATTAACAATTTTTTTTTTAACCTTTACTCTCCTTTGGTCCCAGCGCCCTTACATATTTATTATTTTATTTTGTAAACAATTTTTTGAAAAGGGAGAGAAATAAAGAGGTAGAAATAGATTATAAACGTAAATAATCTACATACATTGCTTTTATCTATTTACCCATCTCTTCATCCATCCAGCCACTTATCTTTGAGAACAAAGAATGCCTATTCCACAGTGTTTTTGTGAGAACCAATGTGTTTGTTAATGGTGATGCAATGCTGGGCAAACTTTCCTTTGCAAAGTCCTCTCCCCGCCTGTTCACCTCATAGAGAACCAACCCATTTTTCCTCCCAGCCATCTGTGCTTTCACTTGTCAGAGTTGCCATCCCTTGTCTATTACATATCTGCTCCCCACCATCTGGCTCTTCCAGGCAGGGACTATGTCTGGTTCATTCCTGTGGTCCAGATTCTCAACCTGAGGGCCAAGTGTGCTGACCTTCATGGACAAATTGGGATTTTCATTCCATTTTCAGTTCAAAAGCATCAACCAAGGCAAGAAGACCAGTATTGCTGACTCTATGCTGCAGATGCTGGAGAAGTATTCCCAGAACCTGGAGGACCTGATCCAGGAATGGACTGAGGAGCTGGGGTTGGAGAGACAGAAGATGGAAAGGTTGCTCTCTCAGATGCTCCTGCCGTGAGTGGACTTGGTTGTGGCTCTAGCCTCAGTGGCTCTGAGCATGGGACCTGGGACATAGTAGGTGCTCAGTAAATCTGGGTTCCATTAATTCATTCATTGTTTATTTATCCAACATATTTTAATAGAATGCTTACATGTATTAGGCACTGTTGGGGCACATGAGTGTTGAATTTCTACTGCCTCTTTCCCTAGGGAACAAGGACAAGGCACAGGGTCCCCCATCTGACCTCAGAGGAAATAATGTCCAGAGAGGGGCAGGTATTTGCTGGAGGGGAGCCAGCACACCAACAGAGCTATCCCAGATCCCCTGACACTCAACCCAGGATTTTCCCCCAAATATCCCTCTCTCACTTCCAACTGTGGAAAGATGGTCCTCCCACCTTGCGACTCTGGCCCTTCCCATCCCTTCAGGTCTGTGGCTGAAGCTCTGAAAATGGGGGCGACTGTGGAGCCAGAGTACTTTGACCAGGTTACCATATACTTCAGTGACACTGTAGGCTTTACCACCATCTCAGCCCTGAGTGAGCCCATTGAGGTGGTGGGCTTGCTCAATGACCTCTACACACTGTTTGATGCTGTTCTGGGCAACCATGACATGTATACGGTGAGAGGACCAAGAGGCAGGCATTCCATCTCTCCGTCCTCTATGTTGTGTTTGCATCATACATTTACTTCTTGTCATTTATTTATGCATTTTTTATTAGTAAGCTATTGCTGTGTAACAAATAGCTCCCCAAACCCAGTGTTGTAAAATGATAAGCATTTATTATTGCTCACAAGCCTATAGTCCAGCTGGAAATGTCTCTGGACTCAGCTGGTCTCACTCATACATCTGTGGTCAGTTGTGGGTGAGAGGAAACTGCTGATCTTGGCTGGACTCTGGAGCCTTTGTTGAGATAACTCATTTCTGGTCCACGTGGCATCTCACCCTCTAGCAGGTGCATTGGTATTATTTACATGGTGTGGCAAAGTTCTGAGAGAGAAGGCAGAAGCCCAGAAGCCTCTTGAGATCTAAGCTGGGATCAGGCACATTGCCGTTTCTGACATATTCTATTGGTCAAAGCAAGTCAAAAGGCCAGCCCAGATTTAAGAGGTGGGGAAAAGAAATTCAACCTGTGCCAGGCAAGGGCTGACAGGTGAGTCAGCTTCTGTGCCTGCCCTTGGCGAGCTCTCAGTCCTGGAGGCTGAGAGGGCCCCAAATCCAGCTAGGAGTAAATGCGTAAAGAGCAAGGAAGGCTTCCTGGAGGAGGTGTCTTCCTAGCATTGTCCAGCCTGGGTGTGATTGCTCCAGGCAAGCAATGGGGAAATAAAGTGCTAAAGCTTGAGGCTTGAGAGGGTGGACCTAGTAATTGGGAGGGATGCTGAATGGGTTGTGATGGCTAGACATGAAGTGGGCCAGTGGTGGGAGTGGGTGGTGGGTGGGACACGATGGAGTGGGCAGCAGGGGCCTTGGCAGAGCTGTCAAGATCCCCCACAATCTAGTCCCTGTGCACCTCTCGATTCTGGGTTTGAGTCCCACCCTGAACACCAGCTTGTGTGTCATTTTGTCTTCCCCTCTCTGGACCTTATCTATAAAACAGGAATAATGACTCCAGTCCCAGGGGTTCACAGATGATGGGCAGATCCTCTCCCCCTGGTAGAAGTGCTGTGTAAACTGTGAGCCTGTGAAAGTGAATAGCTTTCTAGCCTCTACGCCTGCTTTGGGGGCCTTCCCACCCTGCCCCTATTCTGATCCAATTGTTGGGGGGTCCTAGGTCAGCCTCAGACACAGTGGATGAGGTGGGGAGGAAGCTCCAGGAAACAGCCATACTCTGGCTCCCCTGGCCTTAGCCTTCGTTTGTGACATGCCAGCCCCCTTCCTGCCACCACCCTCCAGGAGAGCCGGGACTGGGGAGGGCCAGGCCCTGGGCTGAAGCCAGGATGGAAAGGATGCATAGGCAGGAAGTTTCAGAGGAGAGAACTAACTCTTTGAGGTGCGAGGAAGTCTGCTGGTAGCATTACGCACAGTGTCCCGACAACAGGAATCTCCAGTACTTATTGAGTGCTTACTGTATACCAGACACTGGTACACAGTCTAGATGCCTTATATGTACTAACCCATTTGATCGTCATAACAATGTATGAGGTAGATAATAGCACCCCTAATTTACAGATGAAGAAACAGGTGGTTAAGCAGCTTGTCTAATTACATAGTCCCAGCAGAATGTGAAGCTGAGACTTGAACTTGGGCATTCTGGTCCTGTAACCCCACTTCATCAGGGCTCACCATCCCGGGACACGGACAGCCTCAGGATAAAGTCACAGGTTCGTAGCGGCCCCTAAGGCCCTCCAGGAGCTGGCCCCCCCTCCCTCCCCACTGCATCTCCGCACTCTGCCCCTGCAGTCCTCTGTATTCCTCACGCAAGCTTTGCTCTCTCTAACCACGAGGCCTTTGCACACGCTGTTCCTCCTGGAACCCTGCTCTCTCTCCCCTTCTGCTCCCGCCTGGTCTCAAGTTAGCTTCCCTGCCCTCCCAGACATGGTTAGGAGCTCCTGTGTGATGCTCTCATAACTACCCTTGGACCTGTCGGTTCCAACCTAAACCGCTCTGTCCCCAGTGCTTGGCAATGTCCAGTACACGGTAGGTCCTCAGGAAACACGTGCTGACTAAATGAGGAGCTCACTGAGGCCCAGAGAGGGAAGTGCCTTGCCTGAGGTCACAGAGCTGGTAGGTGACAGAGCCAGGACAGGAAAGTGCCCTGTCCACTACCACCGCCCAGCTCTGTCCACTGCCCCACACTGACCCGCGGAAACCTGAGCCACTGGAATTCCTAGCACACATCTTCCTTCCCATTCCCCGTTCCTGCCCCAGCCCATGGTCTGAGGCATTCTCTGTCATGCTGGCTGAGTTTCCCTCTTGCCTCCAGAGCTACCGTGGGCCCCAGGAAAAGATTCCTCATCTCGTCTTGCTGAGCCCTGCAGCTTTGATGTGCCCTGAGTCACCCCTGACCTTGTCTCTTCCTCCCCTGCTAATCTTTTCTCACACATGTGTCCCTCCCAGCTCTGAATCACGCTTTCTGATCTGCTCTGAACTCTGGCCAAGAGGTCTGCATCTTTCTGGCAGAGTGAAATGAAATAAAACAAGGCCTGCACACCCATCCAGATGTGGGGAAACAGGAGGCCGGGTCCTCCCCATGTGCAAGCGCGTCTCTCATCGCTCATGCGGCAGCCTTGGTTTCCCCTCCGTCCCAGCAGGATCTGGTTACTGCTCTTCAATCCGGTCTGGGCTGGGAGGCAGCCAGGCGATCATTTCCTGGTTCCACAGGGGTCTGTGGTTCCCTCCCAGCACGCGCTGAGTGAGCACTTTCATGGACGTAACTCTGGAGCAGGGCGCGAGTGGGCTGCGGGGGAGGAGAGGGTTCACCTCAGCCACTCCGCCCGGCGGATGGGCATGGCCCCGGCCGTACTGCTGAGCCACCCTGGGCACATCACTTCACCTCTCTGAGCCTCAAGTTCCCATTTGTAAAACAGAGGTGAACGTGCCTATGGCTCAGGGTGGTTCTGTAGATTAAGCAGTGTGAGAGGAAGTGCTGTCGTTGATACCAACACGACGATGAACACCAGCACGTGCAGGCGCTGAGCCCTCCCCCTGAAAGCCCAGAATTGCAGGGGGTATAGATGTACCACTTAAATGTCTACAGAGGACTGGCCTGGCCTATGGATTGTCACAGGATATCTCATTTAACCCTCGAAATGCCCCTCAGAGGGATGCATTACTATCCCTACTGTACAGATGAGGATACAGGCTCAGAGAGGTGGGTGACTCGCCCAAGGTCACACAGCAAGCCAGTGGTGGAGTTAGAACAGAGAGAGAGAAAGAGCCCAAGCCATGTGCATCAGGAGGCAGCATAGCATATGGGCTCTGGAGCTAGACCGAACCAGTTCAAGTCTGTGCTGTGTGACGTTGGTGAGTGACTTAACCTCTCTGGCCCAGTTTCTGTCTGCAAAATGGCAAGAGTAATAGTACCTACCTCACAGAATTCTTGTGAAGACCTAATTCTTGTAAAGGGTTTGGAATAGTGTCTGGTTATATGAGTAATAAGGGAGCACTTACTTAGTCCTTCTTCCAATCTTGCCAATCAGATAATGCGTTCGTCCTCCTGCGGGGAAGAAGGGTGTGGGCAGAGGGAAAGCCAGGGCTTGCTCATATTTCTCCCAGGGGCGTGGGGTGGGAGGTCTCTCTCCTCTGTGGAAATGTACACAGTGGGGGGCAGCCCTTCCCCTGACCCAGCCGCATTCAGGCCAGCCCACAGTAAGTGCAGATGATGGGGAGGGAGGGAGATGGAGGTCACAGCACTGAGGAAGGAAACATCTTTTCCCCAGCTGGTGACCGGGGAGATTTAATGGACTCGATGCAGTGAAAACTGGGCTGATGGACGGCTTGGATCTCAACAGATAGGGACTGGGGGAGACCATCTTAGGCAGAGGGACTAGACCATCAGGGCCTGGAGGTGAGCAAGCGCTGAGTGTCTCTGCGGGAAGCAGGAGGTTTCCCGTTTGGCTGAAACGTGGGGAACCAGGAGCAAGTGTTAGGAATAAGTCAGGAAATTCTGCAAATCATGGGAGTCCCTGATTGCTAGCTCCATGGGGAGTAAATTTTAAGCCTTTTGCTGTAGGGAGCAAATTTAAGTATATGAGCAGAATGTGGCATGATTAGGGCAGATCACTTCCCGGTATCGGGGCAGGGATATTCTGGGTGAGGGAAAGAGCTGGGGGACATAGGTAGTAGGGCACAGTCCACAGATAATGGTGTGTGAAAGAAATTTATTGAATTATAGCACCCCCTGTGGGCACGAGAAGCGTCGTCATTATTATTACTGTCTACCAGGTGCTGAGGGAGAGCGGCTATGCCTGGCCAGAGGGAAAGCTCTGACCCACAGCTCTGAGGGATGCCGGCATGTGCCCGCTGTAGGAGTGGCAGTGCGGGGCTCTTTAACCTGCAGATGGGAAGACTTGGGGTGTAGAGTTGCCATCTTCAACCTTGGCTGGCCTGGCCTGTGGCAGGGGAGAAGGCCACAGTATACATCTGTGTTCCCAGCACCTGGAACAGGGCCTTCAGAATAGATAATGAGCTTCAGAATAGGAAAGAACTGTGGCTTGAGTTCAGGGGGTAGAGCTGGAACCAGCAGGTGAAAGGCAGGTTACCATTCAACTCAACTTTTGTAAATCAGAGTTGCCCCGAGGGAGAAGAAGCCACCTGAGGAAGGAGACGTGAGCAGGACCGACAGCCACGGGGAGGCAAGTGGGTGGCTTTAAAGTCCCTCCTAATTCTGAGACTCTGGGATTCTATCGTCTCCAAAAGCATTAGCCCAGGAGAAGATGATGATGATGATGGTGATGGTGATGATGGTGATGGTGATGGTGATGGTGATGGTGATGATGGTGATGGTGATGGTGATGGTGATGATGGTAACGAGAGAAGTCTGTTTATTGAGCATCTGTGACAAAACCGGCTCTTACCTCTTCATCTTTAATATGCATTTCATATAAGAGGAACTGAGGCTTGCACAGGCGAAGTGGCCTGACCAAGGTAAATGGCAGAGCCGGGGTTTGTATCCACATCTCTTGGATTTCAAACGCTCCCTTCCTTTTAGTACACCCTGGAAGGCCAAGCGTTTGGGAAATAGGTTATATATCCAACATACATGTACTCCTCTCCAGAGGAAGCCCTGACCTGCTGCTGCGGTGCTGTGCAGATGGGGCGCCCAGGGCTGCTGCCAAGGAGCTCATGGTCTGGGGTCAGAGGTAAGACCTGCAATTCAGACAAAGGTGATCTGAAATGTGCAGGTCCAATCATTGCCAGAGCGGCTGGGATGGGAGTCCTGGGAAAGATGGCACTGTTCGCCAGAGACTCGAGGGCTGGGTCAGGGGCTCCAGAGAGGTGGCCTTGTGTGGGATGTGGGTCAGTCGAAGGAGGGGGGTTCTTATCCTGGAGCATGAAGGCTGTGACTTCTAGGTGGAGACCATCGGGGATGCCTAAATGGTGGCAACAGGGCTGCCCCAGCGCAACAGGAGCCAGCATGCAGCTGAGATCACCAACATGGCCTTGGACATCCTCAGCTCTGTGGGCGACTTCCGGATGAGGCATGTGCCCACTGTGCCCATTCGCATCAGGGCTGGACTGCACTTAGCTATGGACTTGGGGCTGCGGGAGTCTCCCAACCCTGCCTGGGACGCTGGCTGGGGCAACCCCAATGGCGTGCTTCTGGAATCCTGAGATTCTAAAAATCCGTAATAGAAAATTTTTACAATTCTTTTTTTCTTCTATTATTTTAAGGTTCTAAGATGTCATAAATCAAAGAATCTGTGATGCTCAGATTCACACATATATATTTTTTTATCTCAGCATCTGTCAAGGTCATCTAAGTCCATGCTGAGGAGCTGACAGTCTGATGGAAGAGGCAGAACAGAGACCTGTGGTCATGCAGACAACTCAATATTTGCTGGGAGGGGACTAGGAGAGACCTCAGGGTCTCTACTATAGAATAGCCTTCTCGTGCCCTCATCCCTTCCTCCCTCCATAACTTCACCTGTGGGATAAAGTCCAAACTCCCCACCCACCTCATAGCCTCCAAGGCCCTTGCTATTCTCTCCAGCCACATCTCCCACCACTTTCCACTTTGTATTCTGTCTATACCCAGCCACTTGCAGTTTCCCACAGGCATGTGGGCTCTGTGCCTCTGGGCCTTTGCACCTGCTGTTCCCTGCCGACTCATTCTCTCATCCTTCAAGACACAGTTTAGGTACTGCCTCCTCCAGGAAGTCCTCTGGGCTGGGTCAGAGTCTTCTTTCTGGGCTGGCACAGCCCTGGTGCTTCCCTCTTCACAACACTGATCAGTGTTTATACATATCTCCCCACCAGGCTGGGAGCACCTTAAGAGCAGAGCCTGGTTCCAATTTATCTGTGCCCCCCTACCCCCAGCCCAGAGCCTGGCATAGATGTCATCTCCTCTCTGGGTGTTCTTGGAGATTCCATACAGCTTCATCCTCACCCCCCAGCTGGAGCCCAAGATGTGGGGTGGGGACAGCAGTTTGGGGAGAACTGGGGGGACAAGAGTGTTGTAGAGACTTCTCTTCGGTCCAGGACCTGCTGGAGCTCACTGGGCACATCTGAGTTTCAGAGCCCTGCATGGCGGGGGTTGTGGGTCTCACCATGTCTCAGTACTGCCTCTCTGGGGACACAGTTAACACCGCATCCCGGATGGAGTCTACAGGGATACATGAGTGTCTCATATTTCTATCCTAGGGAAGCCCAGGGAAGGACTCTCTCAATGACCCCTGCAGCCTGGCTGTTTGAAACAGTGCTTAGTAACCAAATCACCGCCTGGTGGCAGCGTACCCTAGTTATCAGTAAAACAACCAGAAGGAGATGATGTATGTCACTGGTTCTTTTAACTTTGCACAGGGCTTTTGTGATGATGTCATGAGAGAATTTGCAGGGAAAACAACGACTCCAGAGGCAGGAAACCTGGGTCCTCACCCTGACTGGGTCCAGTGTGCTTAGTGTCCTTGAGCAAAATGCTCTTCCTCTAGGTCTTGGTTTCCCCATCTTTCCAATGAGGACACCCCTTTCAATTAAAAAAAGTATGCCATTTTAGACCCTTGCTGGCAGCAGGAGCCTCTCTGATGGTCTGGCTAGAGCAGCTGAAAAAACTGAGCCTTTGCTCCTGGCTGCACAGATCGTGTGCTCCCTAATGTCGCTCAGTACGTATCCTGCTTAATCAGATGTATGGCCCTAGAGGGGAGCCCTGCCCTTAAAAGAAAAATAACTGCTTATCTGCACTGGCTCAGCCTTCAAAGACTTCCCTACAAGTAGAGATTATGTTCCTAGAGTTCTGACTTCATCTTGAGTTCTCCTTAACAATCAATCCATGTAGTTTCCTTTCCCTTGAGACCTCCACTTTAGTGCCCAGCAATCTACTAGGGGGACAAGAGGGCCAGGCAAAAGGCATTGCATGAATCAGAGTTGTGTGTATGACTGGCTGGAACTGGGGCTGTTACAGGCTCTTAATGATTTTACCGAACACTGGGTATGCTGTCACCAGGTGGTAACTTGACTACCACCTTTCTTCTCAGCATACAGAATTCATGTCTGCATAAGCACCGCCCAGACACTGCTCAGCCTGGATGAAGGCTACAAAATTGATATCAGAGGCCAGACGGAGCTAAAGGTGAGAGACTTTCTTTCCTGGGATTGATGGGAAATGTCTCCAGAGGTCCAGTTTCTGCGGGCAGCAGGAGAGATTCTCGTCTGACTGACATAGCTAAAGGAAATGCCGGCCTGGGAGCTGATCACCTTTAATATCCTCCTCGCTCCCCAAATTCTAAGGAAACATTTCTTCCGGGGAGCCCCTCCCTCATTTGGCTCCTCATAAGGAGAAGGGCCGGGGCAGAGAAGTTACTTCCCTTGATGACCTGCCTGGGCAACACGCTGGTGCACCACAGATAGTAACATATTTATTACCACAGAAATTACCACAGAAATAATGAAAGGAGGATCCATGTCCCCATTTTACATTTGAGGAAATTAACTTAGAGAGGCAAAGAGACTTACCCAAGGTCACACAGCTGAATCCTAGGTCTGGTGGCTCCAAAGCCTGTGCCTTCTCCATAGCACTGTTGGGCTCCTACTCATCCTTCAGAACCCTAGCACAGAACTTAGCTCTCACTGAAGCCTGCCCTGACCCAGGAATCTCTACTTTTCTTCTTTCTTTCCCCCAGAAATAACTGTCATGCCTTCTCTGTGCACCCACCAGTCCCACAGCTGGCCCTCTGATGTTGTCAGTGTGATGTTGGGTTTTACCTGCCCATCTGCCCTCAAAGACAGAAATTGGTCTGTCACGTCTGCATTCTTTTTTTTTTAATGTTAACGTTCAGTAAGGTAATGGTACCATCCTATGAATGACTTTTCTTCCTACCCCACCCCCTTTCATTTCCCCAATTCCTCAGCTAGAGCCAGGCCTACTGGAGTGACTGGAGCAGCTGGGGCATTTAAAGGCCCAGGGTTGCGACTGGGCCCCAGAAATTGGGGGACTCCCGTGGGGGGCTCCACGGGTCTCACTTCATTAAACGGTGAAATGTCAGAGCAGCAGCTCAGAGAGGAGCAGTAACTTGTCCAAAGTCACACAGCCTGTGAGGGCCAGTGTAAGCGGAATCCTTTGCTTTGGAGGCTGAAGTTATGGGCGAGTGGAGTAAGGGCAGGCGTGTCTTGTTTGGGGGAGTAGGCACTAGATGTCCTAAGCAACAGAGGATTCTGATGACAGAAGGGGATGCAGAGTGGGAGTCGGGAGGGCAGTATGCCAACCTCAGGTTCTTTGGGCTGACCTGAGGGATCCAAGGGGCAATACCCATCCCTGGTCCAGGTGGCATGTGAAACTTCTAGGGCAGCCCATCCTGACCCCCCAGGTAGCTGCACCCCCATCCCAGGGGAGACCACTGTATCCTTCAACAGTTTGGGAAAATCACAAATCACAGAACCTGGGATCTTAGCATTCCATGACTGCTGGTTATAGAACTCATGATTCATTATTTATTTATTTCTCTAACGGATAAATATTAATTCATTTAATCCTCACAACTCTATGAGGTATTCAGGAAACTGAGGCACAGAGAGGTGAAGTATGTTGACCAAAGTCACACAGCTAGAAGTGACAGAGCCAGGATTTGGACCCAGACAATCTGCCTCCAGGCTCTAGGCTGCCTTCCTCCCAGTTGTGGGAATCGTGTCTCTGCCCTGGCTCTCTGCTTGAGAAGGTACGTTCAACTCTTTTCCTCTCTCTTCCAGGGGAGGGGCTTCAAGGAGACCTACTGGCTGGTGGGGAAGGCGGGCTTCCCCAGACGCCTCCCCACACCTCTGGACATCAAACCCCGGGTGAGTAAGTGGAATTTCCCCCAAAGCTTGGCCTCTGTTGTTTGAAAGTTGATACTTGTTATTTTTCTGATTATAAAGGTATTACCTGCCTCGCGGGGATAACTTGGAAAATACAGAATTCTTTAATGATTAAATAATCTCCACCTTTCCACTCCTGAGAGACAGCCACTGTTAGCACTTCAGCATGGTTCCTGCCAGCCTGTTTCTGATGTCCAGGTCATGGATGAGATCGTGCTGCTCCATAACTTCTCATTCTGGTCTGTGCTCTCCGCTCAACGTCCTGAGCGCCCTGGGTATCATTTACTCACTTGTAGTTACAGCATCAGGATTGCAACATGTGGCGGCCGTGATTAGCTCAACCTCCCTCTTGTCACTCAGCATGTAGGGTCTTCCCATTCTGAGCCCGTTACAGGTGATATGTTGATAAATATCACTGGGCGTTTGTCACCATTCAGACTATTTCCGCGGGGGGGTATAGCTCAGGGGTAGAGCATTTGACTGCAGACAATTTCCGAAGACGAGGAATTTACAGATCAAAGGCCCTCATGTTTTAGGGGCCAAAAGAAGCAGATTCTCAGAGCTGGTGCCTGCCCTGCAGTTGGGCTCTTTCCTTTGTCCTCTGTCCTTTGTGACCCCATGTCCCTCGCTGAGGGCAACCCAGGTGAGATGGGGGAGCGGGGGAAGTAAGAACATTTTACTGCAACGTGCTGTTCCTCACTCTCTTCCGCTCGAGCACCGGGCGGTCCACAGGGGGCCACAGGGCGCAGGTGCTGCCCATAGCTGAGAATTAGTTTCCTAGAAATGAGGCAGCCCAGGGGCCCACAAGGCCCCACGGGCTCATTCCACCAGTGGGTGGCTGGCCTGGGGATGGACAGAGCCCCATCAGGGGCCCACAGCATGACCACATCAGAGCTTCCTGCCCAGGGTCTTTCCTTCATTAGAACTTCCAACTGACTCCTCGCAGCAATTCCAGGATGGGCCCCTCCCATATCTCAAAGACCAGAAACGTGTGGGGCACACATGGGCTTCCTGGGAAAAGACCATTACTAAAGCAGCCTAGGCTGCGCGTCCTCCAAGTGGAAGGATCGATACGGACAGGAGCTGAAGGCCGTCAGAGCATCCCTGCCCCCCAGCTATCAGGCTGCCCCCAGGCCTCAGGACCCCAGGGAACCCGGGCAGAGCAGTGCCTGGGGGCAGGCAGTGCCCTGTTCACCTTCACCCCTGAGTGCCCTCCCTGACACACACTGGGGTCCAGCGAGCTGGGGAGGAGGAGGGGGATGGATGGGCATATGGAGAAACGCTCGGGGTGCAGCACACACACAGATGCACCCTTTTTATAAGGACACTCCAGATTCCTGGGTGCAGAACCAGCTTGTGTTCACAGAAAGGCCCCCAGACAGCCCTGGGTCCTTCAACTTTGCAGACGATTTGCCGGGAGAGGACCGGGCTCGGGACCAGCTGTGTGCCGTGGGGCAGGTCCCTGACCTCCCTGGCCTTCCCGTGGGCCACAGCAGCGCCAGCTTACCCACCCCCAGGAGAGCATCTGCGGCCCCCTCACCCCATTCAGTCCCTCTGGGTCCTCTACTCCAGCTGCCGTCCTCTGACCTCACAGCCGTCGGGCCTCCACCCCACTTCTGCCTCCGTGGGCAGCCAGCCTTCTCAGAAGGCCCGTCTGCCGACGCTGACTGCACTTCCTCATCTTCCTCTCCTGCCGGCCCTCGCAGCCTGACTTCCACCACCACTCACCCAGAAGGCTCTGTGAGGTCACCGGTGCCCTCTACCCATGTCACCAGCTCCGTGGGCAGTTTTAGTTACCGGCCTCTTCCTAGAAAGGTTCTCCAAGGCCTCCTCGGCGCCCTGGCTGTGCTTCCCCACCTCCAACTCCTCCCCCCAGGGCTCCCCGGCCGCTCTTCTCCTCTCCCCAGCTCTTCCTTGCTGGGGCTGCACAGGGCTCCTCCCCCGGGCATCCCTTCCTATCCTGACGCCTCAGCCCCAGACCCCCTCAATAGTTCTTTGGCAGCCGGGCCTCCACCAGAGTTCTCTTCTTGTGGGTGGCCTCGCCACCCTCAGTCAGGAAGCTGGACACGGTCCTGGAGTCAGCAAGTCCTGGAGCTCTGCTCCCATCACAGCCCGAAGCTGACGACTTCTCCATCACGCCCGCTCGCCCGGTCACCGTGGGGCTCTCGCCATTTCCCCTCACCCACCTCTGCCCGGCACCCTTTCACTAAAGCACAAACACGTTTCACATGGAAGCTCCGTGTTTCACACCCTCGGGGTCTTCCTACCTGAACCCTTTCAGGCTGCCTGTGAGGTCCCGCTCTGTCCGGCCTGGGCCTGCCCCTCAGGCTCAGCTTTCCAGCACCTTCTGCCGTGAGTCACCTCCTCGGGGCCTCCCTGCTGCTCCTCAAGACACACCGAGCTTCCCACCTCAGGACCTTCGCTCTAGCTGCCCCCTGGCCTGGTCCCTCCCTATCCTGCAGGTCTCAGCTCTGCCGCTGCTTCCTTCACGGGGCGACTCATCACACACTCTGATTGGAGCCCTGCTGCAGCCGCCAGCCCATCTCCCAGCACTGTGTCACTGTAGCACTTGGTTCTCCCTGCTATTTCTTGCTGATGCATTTATGGAACTTTCCCCAGGAGAGTCTGGCTGGCCGATATGCCTGCGGGTCTGCCAGGTGAGCTCCCAGCCCTGCTCCAACCCACCCCGTCCTGGCAGTGGGAACCGGCAGGTCTGGCAGCCGTTCGTCATCCTGAGCTCTCTCAGCTGATGACGTTTCCACTCCAGGCCAGAAACTTTAGAAAGCGCCAGCAACATTTTCATCTTCTTGACTCAGGGAGGGAAGAGAGCGGAGATTAGCCCCAGTGAGCTCCACCTGACCTGGGAGCCTCCCAGGCCTCTAGGCAGCAGGGAAGAATCCCACACCCACCTAGGCCCACGGGCTCAGATCCAGCAGGTGGGCACACAGGGGCCCGAGCACCCAAGTGCACCTGCATACGCATACACACACTCCGCCTGGCATGGGCATCAGATACATACAAACGTGGAAACACTACCACATGCCCCTCCGTTTGCTTGGAGATGAGGTCACAGATAGACCCACAGAAACACAGACAGATATGCAGGCAGACACACAGAATCTCTGCAGGAAGGGCCAGCTGGATGGGAACTTGTCTTGGACTTGGGTTTATGAGGCAGTTACCAAATTTTTACTGGAACTGTGTGCTATAGCTTTTTTTTTTTTTTTTGCGGTACGCGGGCCTCTCACTGTTGTGGCCTCTCCCGTTGCGGAGCACAGGCTCCAGACGCGCAGGCTCAGCGGCCATGGCTCACGGGCCCAGCCGCTCCGCGGCATGTGGGATCTTCCCGGAGCGGGGCACGAACCCGTGTCCCCTGCATCGGCAGGTGGACTCTCAACCACTGCGCCACCAGGGAAGCCCAGGTTTATTATTCTTGATTGTCCTTTTCCCCTAGGGACACCTGGCAGGACCTCATAAACCAAGAGATCAAGGTGGCCTTTGCCAAAGCCCACCGGAGCAGAGCCGGGACTTGGAGCTCGGGTGGGGCCTTGGCCAGGCCCTGAGGAGAGGGACGGAGCAATGTCGAGCCCAGAGGCTCCTGTGCCTGGACGCCCCCAAGACCTCTCCCTGCACCACTCCCCACAAAGCACTCCCTTGGGAGCGCCCTGGCGGCCAACTCGTTAACATGTGCCCTAGAGTGATAGTAATTGATGCGCTCCTGTGTGAATCCTACAGGTAAACTTGCCTCGGGACACAGAAACAATAAAAATAGAAATATTCGCTCCTTTCCCAGAGCGCTTTGTTCTGGACAAATGGTTCTCACTCTGAGAGCTCGTTATAGAGCTCACTGTTCCTTCCATTGAGAACACCATCCCCATCGTACAGCCAAGGTGCCCAGGCCCCAAGGGAGGAGGTCATTTGTCCTGAGTGGCACAGCTGCCCTGGGCAGAAGCAAGACGGGGACCGGGAGCTGGAGCCAGGCAGTCGAGGGCTCCAGGAGCCACTGGACCACCTGCTCACGTTACACCACTTCTCAGAGCCTCTGTTTCGTCATCTCTAAGATGGGTGTGGAGCGGGCCCACGTGAGGCTTGTTCCTGACAGAGGGCTTCCGCGCACGGCAAACGTTCAGCACAAGCTAACTCCTTCCCCGCCTCTCCTCCCTGAGCTGGCCTAACCTCTTGGGCATCTGTGAGCACTGTGTTGGGAGTCCGGGTCTTAAGCTCCCAGAATCTAAGGGGAGGGGTTGGGAGGGGAGTCATAATTCCTGGGTTCTTAGGAAAATGAGACTTCTGTCTTACAGGAAAAAAAAAAAAAAACCCACATCCAACTCATTAAACTAGCTTCCAACATCAAAGTGTACTTTCCAAACCCCCGAGGCTGATTTCGGAGCAGACAGACCAGGCACACGTGGAATTCATTTCCTTGACTGAGGGGAGAGGGCGGGGGCCAGGGGGTAGGTTAAGCCCTAAACAAACTCGTCCTTCTTCAAAAGACCCCTTGGGAGGGGGGAGCTGGCACTAAAACTGAACTGGGTGTCGTGGGGAGAATGTTCTGCTGGGGGCTGTGCTGTGTGTGCGTGTGTGTGTGTGTCTGTGTGTGTAGATGTGAGAAGGGTGTGGGCGATGTGTGTGGAGCCATGAGCCGCTGTGTGGTGGAAAGTGTTACACTCTACTTTGGAAGATGCCCCGGCCGTCCCGACCTGCACAACTTTGGCCTTAATCTTTTTATTCCTCAATTTCCTCAAATGCAAAATGTGACCGGTCACCCTTACCTCCCAGGTCGTTGTGAAAATTAATGGAAAGGACTGGAAACACCTCAACTGGCCCCAAGCAGGCCTGCAGGAGGGCTAAGAAGGCAGGGTGCATCTGTGGGATGTGCCGACGGTTCTGTGCGTGATGGTGTCTGCACGTGCGGTGCCCCTGTGGCGTGGAGGCCAGAAGCGTGGCCCTGGTTCCTCCAGTGAACTCTGTGTGGCCCACATGAGGCCTGTGGATTTTCTCTCTGGGCCTCAGTCTCTTCATCTGTAAAAGGAGCTTTTGGTCTAATGGCCATGAAGTCCCCCTGGGCGTGAGGCTCTGTACGTATCCATGGGCACACAGGTGGTAACTGGAGGCCCAGCGGCAGGCAGACACAAGACCAGAATTCAAAGCAGGATTCCATTCTGCTTTCCTCCCAGGAACTGGTCTGTGGGCCCCTCTAAGCCCTCAGCTCCTCACTGCACAATGGGGACCAGCGCCCTGCCCCACCTGCCTTATGCGGATGCTGTCAGGTCAAAGGAGGCAACACTTTGAAAGCACGCTGTCCCCCAGGAGAGTGTGCAGCAGCCGTGACTGAGGGTGCACGTGTGTAAACAGACCTGGGTGGCTTCGCGTACGTTGCGTGGATGTCAGCGTTCAAAGGACCCTGAGCAGACAGGTGACTGTGTTCCCTTGCACGTGACTCCATCTGCATGTGTGTGCTTGTCTGTGGATGTCTGTGCGTGTGCTGTGCCTCTGTGTATATGTGCATTGATGTGTGTGTGTGCATTGGTATGTCTGCATGTCTGCTGCCTTAACTGTGTATGTTATGTGTCCAGGTGTGTCTGTCTGGGCACCAAAGTCTGGGAGCAGCGGCAGATCTTCTGATATTCGTGTCTGTGCCCATAATGTGGGTCTGTGTGTGTGTCGCAGTGCATACCTTGTGCACATGTGGGTATATGTCAGGCTGTGCCTGGATCTGACCTGGCTCCTTGCTCGAGCCCTCCAGAATGGTAGTGAGGGGAGAGTAGCCCCTGGCACCGAGCTGCCCATGCTGAGAAGGGCTGAGGCAGCTCTGTTCTCAGAGGCCTCGGCTCTGACCCCCCTGGGCAGAAGCTGGGGGCTCCAGGGAGAAACTCTATTGCCAAAGCCAACACACTGCATATGAACAGACCCCACACACTGGGGTCTTCACCTCTCCCCAACCTTCTCCCATCAGTTGAGGGTGAGGTCACCCAGGAGGACAGCCAGTGCCTGTCTGGCTCTTGTGTTGTGTCCCCTCCTGGGGCTGGGCCGGTTTCCTCTTCCCCCAGAGGCTTTGGGGCTCGTTTATTTTACATTTGCCTGCTGCCTGCTATGGGCCAGGCCCTGTGCCTGGAGCTCCCACGACACTATCTCAACCACAGCCACCCGCTGGGACAGGAGGGCTTTGCCCACTTTCTAGAAGAGAAAACAGAGGCTCAGAGGGGTGAAGTGACCTGTCCATGCCGGTCTCTGTCTATCTCCTGATCCGAGGTGGCTGCACAGAGCTATAGCAGCACCCCAGAGGGGGTGGCCTCAGGGACACACAAGTTTTGTTTTTCTGTGAAGGAGGTGAGGACAGAACCTTCCTCATGAGGCTGAGGAGACTCTCGGGGCTGGCCCCTCCCTCGTGAGCAGCGGCCTAGCATTTGCGTGGGGCTTCCGTGCATATGCTCGTGTGGAACCCCAGAGACGGGGCCCCAAGTCATGAGTTTCATGATGAATCAGTGCCAGCTGGTCCCCATGAAGTCCCCTACCCTCCCCCACCCACCCGGGGCTATCCTCCTGTCCCTTGAGGTCGGTTCCCAGCAATGGGACACTCCTGGCATCTCTGGGGGCTCGGGTTCTCGATATGGCAGATGGGGCCATGGGGCCCTGGAAGGTCCTCGCAGGCCCTGGTGATCTGGAGTTGTTTGGTTTGGGTCCTTCAGGTAGGCACAATTTGGGATGGTC